ACTTAGTACAGTTTGAAATTGTCTTCCACCATTTGCACATGTATACGTGCAATTACTTATATACATGTATATATATATATATATATATATATTCTGATGCCCAAGTTTCTTTATTAAGCTCTCTTGGCTTGTGCAGCAAGCATCTACCATTTCCACACCAAGAAGACCAGAGTCAGGACTGCTCCAGAATAGGTTGATTGGCAGCTCGCCCATCTTTCCATCCACCCCCTGCAAGGTTCAAGCCATCCTCTACGCAGTTTTCCTAGTGGCCACAGGACGGCGCCAGCAGATATTGCTGTTACCTCATGGAAGTCCCAGGCCATCTCTCTTGTGCCCCATTAATTAGAACTGTATCACTCCGCTATGAGGAAAAGTGCCAAAAAGTGGTTGTGGTGGAGAAAGAGAAAAAATCGAAATGAATTGAATTGATTTATATATAATTGATGTGTTTCCCATAGATATATGTAAACATATATACATACATACATATATTTTTTCTCCTTTTATTTTTTCCATCAATGAAATTTTGTGATTATATTTTCTTAAGATCCTTACACTTACAGAGAACTTACACTTATTCTAAGGTGTTTTCTTAATTGTGTGATAATATGAAGGAGATTATTCTCTTTGTCTTTTTACTTACTTTTTGATGTATAAAGCTTCCCTTGGAACATATATTAATAGTGTATCCAACCATGCTTGTAAATGGTTAAAACTAAATTCCAATATTTATTTTAGCTTATTCTTTTGAGTTTTCCTAATTATAATTATAATACTTGAAAATATGTATATATGTAATTATAGTACTTGAAAATATATTTCCACTTGAAAATGACACTCTTGTCTTCCCTTTCCATTTTTGCCTGATTGCTTCAGAGACAACATCCAAAATAATACTAAAAGAGAATAGAGATGTCTTTATTAGGAAAACATAGAAGTGGCAATTTCCTATAGCTGACAATTAAATATAAAAATTTTATTTCAGATCAAATGGATGTTTTAGAATGGAAAAGTCTCTAATTTAGTTAAAGAATTAAAATCGAGAATCAAGAAATGGGAAGGACTAAACTAAAAAGCTTCTTATCAGCAAAAGAAACAATCTGTGAAGTGAATAGAGAGCCTACATCTTTGGAGTAAATCTTTATCCCTCACACATCAGATAGAGCACTAATCACTAGGGTATATAAAGAACTCAAAAAGCTAAACACCAATAAAACAAATAACTCAATCAATAAATGGGCCAAGGACCTAAAGAGAAACTTCCCAGAAGATGATGTACAATCAATTAACAAATACTTGAAAAAAAGTTCATCATCTCTAGCAATTAGAAAAATGCAAATCAAAACCACCCTAAGATTTCATATCACTCCAGCCAGGATGGCAAACAACAATAAGTGTTGGCAAGGATGTGGGGGAAAAGGCACACTCATACACTACTGGTGGGACTGCAAATTGGTGCAGCCAATATGGAAAGCAGTATGGAGATTCCTTGGAAAATTGGGAATGGAACCACCATTTGACCCAGCTGTTCCTCTCCTAGGTCTATAACCAAAGGACTTAAAAACAGCATACTACAGGGACACAGCCACATCAATGTTTATAGCAGCACAATTCACAATAGCTAAACTGTGGAGCCAACCTAGATGCCCTTCAATAGATGAATGAATTTTTAAAAGGTGGCATATATACACAATGGAATATTACTCAGCAATAAAAGAGAATACAATCATGGCATTCGCAGGTAAATGGATGACGTTGGAGAAGATAATGCTAAGTGAAGTTAGCCAATATGAAAAAAACAAATGCCCAGTGTTTTCTTTGATGTAAGGAGGTCGATTCATAGTGGGATAGGGAGTGGGAGCATGGGAGGAATAGACAAACTCTAGATAGGGCAGAGGGGTCAGAGAAGGAGGGAGGGGGTATGGGGTAATTAATGATGGTGGAATGTGATGATCATTATTATCCAAAGTACAGGCATGAAGACATGAATTGGTGTGAATATACTATGTATTCAACCAGAGATATGAAAAATTGTGCTCTATAAATGTAATAAGAATTGTAATGCATTCTGCTGTCATATACAAATAAAAAAAAAGAAGAAAATTTTTGAGATCTGTATCCATATAATAATACATACCAAAAATACATTTTGAAATATATATATAGATAGATAGATACACATACATATGTAAAGAAATTAATCCACAATAATACTAGGATACTTTTAATATACTTCTCTTATCTGCCAATAAAGAGACAAAACATTACTAGGATTATAAATATTTGAATATCATGATTAACAAAATAACTACTTGACATATCTAGAACACATGACATACATACAGAATACATGTTCAATGCAGAGTCATTAGCAGCATTAGTTAATAAAATCATTTAGTAATATTAAAATGCCCCTAATAATATCTAATATTTAAAATATGAAAATTATTTATTCTTAACTATTAACATTGTTATTAAATTATAATTAATTTATCATTTACAAAAAAATGTCTTAAAATCCAATTCAAAACACTCAGAGGTTGGTTACTTCCACACGATATGTGTACAGTGAAGCCAGCCTTGTGGATAGAAAAGCATTACAGCTAACTCCCCTTATGATCTGAAGATACTGAGAAAGACCTGATACTTAAAACATGTGTTTGGCCCCACTTACATCCTAACACATTAAATTCTGACATTAGAAAGTATTTCCTTTTTTTCCCCAATTTTATATTGTATAATACCAAGAGAAATTGCAACACAAAGTGTTTAGAATGTACAGGATAAATATTCTCTTATCAAGAAAAACTGAAAGAACAGGAACAGGGAGAAACATATAACAGAAAAGTGAATCACCAGGGGACTGTGAAAGGCCCCAGTTAAAACCCACAGTACTTAATATTTGCAAGCTACTGCCAATAGTATCCCTATCACATTCTTTTACCATTTCCAGAAGTGAGGCTAGTCTTTTGGGTGGAAAAGTATTAAATTCCATTGACACACCAAACTGTGAAATGTACAAGTTAATAATTCTAATATGTACATTAAATGGTTGCACAGTATTCATGGGTCACAGGCTCAGGGCAGTCACCCAGCACCCCTCTGCAAAGCTTGATCCCCAATCTGACATGAGTTTGCTGCCATTTATTTTGATAGCGTGTATTCACAGAGAATACATATAAATTCTGGTCTTCTGCTTTGTATTTACAAGAGTGTCTTCCATATCAGTTACTTAAATGTCTATGCTCTGTTTTCTTCAAATATAAAAATGAAATAATTGTAGCACCCACCTCACAGAGGTTTGTAGAGGACTAATATGATGTCTGTCGTGTAGCATTCACATGGCAAAGGCACTTGTACAAATGCTCTCAGTACTTTATACCCCTCACCACAGCCTCAACACCAGACACTGGTATCATTTCCAAAGTAAAGAAGAGAGAATGGATGCACTCAGAGGCATGTGGCTGACTCCCTGGTCTCATTTCCAGGCTGCCACAACCACCATACCTGACCCAGGAGTCATAGTCAGTACACTTATATTGCTAGTAGGAGCACGATCATTTTCACCTGGTTTCTGTTATGCATACATCAAATAAGAAGAACCTATTTTTCCTGTGAATTCTCTTTGAAAAAGAGATTTTAGTGCTAAGTTACTTAGGGAGTCACTCCATTCCCCTCCACCCCTCTTAAATGGTCACAACACTCATTTGCATATGACCTCTGAGAAGTCTCAATCTTGCATCTCTTTAAACCAGAAACTGATGAACTTAGTTGAATCCAAACCCTGTTAATTTCTCTTTTGACATGGTCACTACTATCTTAAATTGCACTTGTACTGATGTTTCAGGGAAAGGGTGGCACAATGACCTAATGACATTACCATAAATTTACTTCTCTCATATTTAGAAATTGTCAAACAATTCACTATGCTTTTTATTTATTGTTCCTGAACAGATATTTTCCTTATATTGGAAGAAGACAAGGCACAGAGATCTTAAATTTATCTTTGCAAGTTCAACCTGTCTGTATCTCCTCAATGAACCCACTTCATGTCACTTCGTGTTGAATATTTTAAAAATTACGGTTGGTTCAACACTTATCAGTTCCTGAGATAAGAAGATCTCTAAAAGATGTGGAACCAGGGAAATGGAGAAGGGGAACCTGGCCACTTCCTTTATCTTCAGTCCTTGGGAGAGGATCTGAAGAGTTAAGTTGGTTGTTAAGTAAAACAATGTACTCATAAAACATCTGACGAAAGCCATGTGTGCAGTGGGCGTGCAACCAATTCTATATATTCCCCTGCTTGTAGGCACCATGCAATTCTCCATTGCATCCCAGCCTGCCACCATTGAGGAATGTAAGTTATAAAATGTCTAAAACTTGACTGCTAAGTCCTCTAAGTTCTCTCTTTGGGATCAGTAAACAGTATGCTTGGGACCTTTGCAGCCTTGGGGTTAACAAATAATCACAGACATGGGAAGATTCTTCGAATGATGAAACCTTTGAGTCCACCAAAGTGAAATCCTCATCATTAAGTGATGCCTGACTGTATATAAGCAGCCTCTCCTCGCCCCCTTCTTTTTTAAAAAATGTTTCTCCAATAGAATGTAGACTCAATGAGGCAAGCATTGTTTTGCATCAATAAATGGAAACGCTGCAACGTGGGGAGTTGAAATGATTTGAACAATGTGGCAGAACTAGTAAATGGAAATGCCTGGCATAAAGAGAGTCTCTCCCTGATTTCCACTAAGAAGAGATGCCTTAGAGATAAGATGGGTAACTGCATGGAACTCATATAGATCCAGAGCATGGGATGATGTTTTCTGTAGCACTACAAAAAGGTTGCAGTAAGTCATGTTGTTTTGTGAGGAAGGAAGGTTGTTTGTTTTTATTGTGGGCTTGAACCTCTCTCCCTTTTAGTGTTAAAGTGCATCCCACTTAGGTGAGCCAATACCTGCATAAACATGAAGTGACAAGCATGCTAAAGACTGGTCTGGGGGAACACTTGTAGTCACTGGGGACATGAGTGATGTGGGCACACTGTCTTCACATCCTCACCTTCTTCCTATGAGACCACCGTCATTGCCCCATTTAGAAATGAAGGATCGAAAGTCCTCAATCACTTAGCCAATGTTACCCAGGTGCAGTATCAGTGCTTGGACCCAAATCTGCCTGATGCCCAAACCTGTACCCCTTCTTCTTCTTCTTCTGGTAGAAACAGCCTAAGGAACTTCCAGAGTCATTTTATTAGAGTCACTGTACAACAGCTTCTTACACTGAGTACGTAATGGAAGACTTCTTGCTTAGTTAGGGAAACCCATTATGTTTCTTTTTAACTGTGTGGCTCTTTGATGTTAATTTCTTCTAAGCACTTAAGAAGCTCCTTAATTTATGCTGGTGTTTGAATTAGCACAGCATTATTTCAAAAGATGACAGTAATTCAGAATTCCAAAGCCTGGAAAACATTCAATCAAAACAAAACCAAAAGCCTGCAAAGGTAACATTGCATTGGGTGGTACCTTTCCTTTGAAAAAGGCAAGGGAATAACTCCTCTACCCATCCATAAACGTGCTTTCTACAGAAACAGATATCATTCCAAATTTTATGATACTTGGAAAAAAAAAGAAAAACTTGCATGGCTTGCTAAATCAATGGAGCTTGATGTAAACCTGATGTCATTTCATTCAGGAATTAACTCATTTTTCTGTGTTTGAAATTTCAAACAAGCAAGGCCTGACCTCATCCAAACTCTGCAGATACATTTTTCACCTAAGACACCCATTCTCCAGAATAATAACTTTGTTGGAAAAATGAGTATAGGCGAATCTCATATTGTTATGGAAGCACCAGGAACACTCTCACTTATGTTTTGTCCAGGACAATATACAGTACAAAAAGGAGTCAATTTCCTTCTTCCCTTACCATTTGTCAATCCAGAGCTGATTGTTTTTCTTTCCAAGGAAGGCGCCTTTCACATTGATGTGATTGAAATTCCTCTGCAGAATTTCTCTTGGTTCTTGGTAAGACCTTGATGGAGTACCCTACTCTTTTTGAATTATTAATCCATCAAATAGTTTAATGCACTGGTGAGGTTACAGCTCTCATGGCCCAATCGTTTCCTAAAATCCCCACATCTGCCATGCATACTGTGATTTCAACACATGAGCATTTTGGAAGATATTCCAGATCCAAACCACGGCAGTGCTTATATGTGTTGTTTCCTTCTATTTTTGAGAACACTTTTGTTAAAACTAAACATGTAAAACAAAAATATTTACTTCAACAATTTATTATAAAGCTAATTTAACATCTACTCTATCAGGAAATACTGGTATGTATATTCTTGTTTTCCATCAATTTATATTAATCTTTTCTCACAAATGACTTCTAAATTAAATTTTTTGTTTCATTTATTTTTGCTCTTGCATTTATTATTGTCTTTCCTATTTACTATGCAGCTACTTGCTTTTAAAAGCATCAATGAAAAATTCTAGCTTCTAAAGTGAATTCTTGGGAAAATAAAATTTGTTTATCTGATTTATCATTATTGGTCCTGGGGATTGAATCTAGTGCTTCATGTGTGGTCAGTATGTATACTACCACTAAGTTACAAGCACAGGCTAGGAAACTTAAAATTATAAGAACCACTTAAAGTTATAAATTTTCCTGTAAGGACCACTTTAACCCACAGATTTTAATATATTTTTATGATCACTCAATTTAAGTTATTTTTTAAATGGTCTTTTTGATTTCTTTTCTGAACTGCAAAACACAAAGAAATGTGTTTTCAATTTCCAAATATTTAGAGGCATTACCAGAAATCTTTTAGCTCTTCACTTCCAATTTAATTTCATGTTGACAGAGAACATATTCTGTATGATTCAATTCTTTTGAACTACTGAGACTTGTTTAGCCCAGCATACACTATATTTTGGTGAAGTAGTATGTACAATATAAAAATTAAAAAAGAGGGTACTTTCTGAAGATTTTGGCTGCAATGTTATGTTAATATAATTAAGTCAAGATGGCCTATAGCATTGGTAACTTGCATGTTGCTGACATATTGAAGTGAAAATTAGTTTTATATATTAATCTTCTATTCAGCAATTATTAAACCTATTTGCTATTTCTAATAATTTATCTCTGTATTCTTTTGGATTTTCTGTGTACATAGTAATAAAATCTAATTAAAACTATAGTTCTCTTATTTTCTATATTTTATATTCTTGCCTTATTGTACAAAGCTGAATAAAAATAAGAATAATGTAAATCTTTGTTTTGCCTCTAATCTTAAAAGAAACATTTCTACTCTTTTATCTCTATATTTGCTGTCAACTTTTAGAAAAAAAATATTCCTTTATATTAAGTAAATTCTCTTGATATTTTCTTGAGGTAATGATAATTTTCTAATAGTCTACATCATGTAGTAAATTATGCTTACTGATTTTCAAAAATGTTATGCCTTGAGTTTTTAGAATAAATTTTAATAGTTCTATGTTATTTTGAGTTATCAAACTCTATTGGCAATTGGTACATTTATTCTTTTCCCGACTGACTACTTGGGCCACAATCATCTTCTGGATATTGACCTAATTCTTCACTTACTTATAAAGTCTCAGTTGCCTGCAGGCAGATTTTCAACCATCTATGCAGCCCTTCTAATTATTTTCCGTGAAAGGGTTGGTTAGAGTTATGTAGTTTGCCCCTGCTGAAAGTGAATATCTCTTCATTTACTCGTTATTTTCTTTCCTATTCCATTTAGCATTTCAATTTCTTGACCCTAGTTCATTCAAATATTAACGATCCATAGAAGATCCTTTGATGAGATCATTTTTCAACTGAAAAATCAAAGTGAAAGACAAAACCTTCATCATCACTGAAGTTCTAAGAGGTTATATTTGATTAATTTACAATGATACTTATTTCTAAAGGAGAACCAATTACTAATATTATTTATTGTTAAAATATAGTTTTTTTTCAACTGACACATTGTTATTATACACATTATATACATTTATGGAGTACAATGTGACATTTCAGTAAATCTATATGTATATATGTTTATATATGTGTTTATATATGTATACATGTGTATATGAATATACATGTGTATATGTGTATATATGTATCTATGTTCATATATATATGTATATACATATATATATGTACTGTTATATGTACTGTGTAATGATAATTTCAGTGTAGTTGGTGTATCTACCACCTTAAACATTTATCATTTCTTTATATTAATAACATTCAGAATCTTCTTCACAAGCTATTTTAAAACATTAAATAATTGTTGTTGACCGTAGTTTTCCAACTGTGCTCTAGAACATTAGAAAATATTCCTCCCATCTAACAGAAGCCCTGTATATTAGGCAGATTTTCATTGCTGTGACCAAAATATCTGACAAGAACAACTTTAAAGGAGGAAAAGGTCATTTGGGGTTCACAGTTTCAGAGGTCTTAATATAGTATATGGTCAGCCGATTCCATTGCTTTGGGCCTGAGGTAAGGCAGGACATGACAGAAGGTCATAGTAGAGGAAAGCTACTCAACTCATGGCAGGTGAGAAGCAAAGAGAGAAAGAAAAGGAGAGAAGAAGGAGGAGAAGGAGAAGCCTCTGCTGTCTCTAGGGACAAAATATAACCCTCAAAGGCAGGCATCCAGTGCCTTACTTCCTCCCACCCCCCACCTCCCTATAGTTACACCCAGTACAGTAGTCCTTTCAAATTACTAATCTATCAAATGGGCTAATCTACAGACTAGGTTACAATTCTCATGAAATAATCATTTCACCTCTCAACATTGATATGTTGGATGTTGTGTTCCTAATGCATGAACTTTTTAGGAGACACTTTGTATCCAGACTAAAACATTCTATGGCCCCCCAAAACTCAGGCCAGATCACAATGCAAAATGTATTTAGTCTACTCTATAGAAGGGTTCCAGGGTTCCAGGAGTTTTCACTTTTATACCCCTGAGCTGTCATGAATATGGACTTACTGATTTTTGAGATGCCCTCACAACATCTTTCTGTATCGTCTCTCTGAAAAATACTCAGCTTCTCTTTAGAGGTCTCTTTAGCAAACACAACTTTCCTGATCCCAGTTTTATATATGCTTCTCTGGCCAAACTGCAAGTTGGTAAAATCTTTTGTCTCTGCTGTCTGCTCCTGATTCTCACATAAACCTGGCTAAAAGTTTCTAGCAATATCTATGCCACTGCCTGAATGCTATACTGCCTTGAAATTTCTTCCACCATATTACTTAGTCCATCACCTTTAAATTTGGCCTTACATAGTCTCAGGACATAGAAAAAAATATAGAGAAGTTCTTCACCAGAATCTAACATGAATGGCCTCTTGTCCAATTCCAAATTGAGTCTTGTTTTCCTTTGAAACCTCATGAGTATGGTCTTTACTGTCCACATTTCAGTCTGCATTCTGGTCTTCTAAACTTACTCCAGAATCACCCATTGAGCTCTGAGTATAACGTTCTAAATCTTCTCTAGTCTGTACCTATCTTCAAACGTTTTCCCAAATCTCCCTTCATATTAGTTCCAAAGGCTTCTGAACAACATTGTCAAGTTGGTTACAGCCATAATGCCACTACTGGTACCAATTTCTGTGTTAGTCAACTTTTTGTCCCTGTGACCAAAATACCAGACAAGAACAAGTTAAAGGATAAACATTTATTTTGAGGCTCATGGTTTCATAGGTCTCAGTCCATAATTAGTCAGCTTCATTGCTCTGGGTTGGAGGTGAGGCAGAATATCATGGTGGAAACATCATACAGGAAAGCTTCTCAGCCCAGGTCAGCCAAGAAGCATAGAGGGAGAGACCACAAGGAGCCAGGAACAAAATATAATCCCCAAGGACATGCCCACAGTGTTTCACTTCCTCCAGCCACAGTCCAACTGCCTATGATTACTACCCAGTGCAGTATTATTTTCAAATTATCAGTTTATCCTAACCCGTTGATTAAGTTATAGCTCACATAATCTGATCATTTCACCTTTGAATATTCCTATTAAATATCATGTGTCCAAAACATGAGCTATTCAGGTGATACTTCATATCCAAGACATCACACTCTATAACCATTAACCAACCTCTCTCCCCCACATCCTTCTCAGGTTCTCGTAACCAGTATTCTCTTTTCTACTTCTTTAAGATCAAATTTTAATTTTCATATTTAAGTAGAAAATAGTTGTCCTTCTGTACTAGACTTAATTCACTAACATATTATTCTCCAGTTCCATTTATGTTATTGAAAATGACAGAATGCTCTATGGCTGAATAGTATTCCATAGTGAATCTGCATGTTTTCTTTATCTACTCATCAACTGATGGACACTTTCGGTTTTTGTTTTGTTTTGTTTTCCATTTCTTAGCTATTGTGGATTGTGCTGTAATAAACAAAGGAATGAAAATCTCTCTGACAAAAATATTTCATTTCCTTTGGTTATATATCCTGACTACTGCAGGATCTGAGTAGTTCTACCTCTGTTTTTTGGGGGGGTTACTTCCATGTCATTCTCCTTAATAACCATATACATTTATGTTCGTTCGCATCAATAGCGTAGGATGGCTTTCTTTTCTCTGCCTTCTCATGAGCACTTATTACAATTGCCATTTTTACTTTAGCCTTTCTAATTTGGGTGAGATCATACCTCATTGTGGTTTTAACTGGCATTTCCTGATGATTACTGATGAACATTTTTTCATGGGCTTGCTGGCTGTTTGCATATCTTCATTTTAGAAATATCTATTCAGGTCATTTACCTATTTTAAAAATTGTATTTTTTTTTTGCTGTTAGATATTTGTTTTTAAATTATTCAAAATCTTACCAACATAGTAAAATCCTTGCTATTTTTACTGTGTTTTTTCCCTTGAATTTTCAATGAAAATGATTATTTAACCTTGTGAAGTGGCAAATATCAAATATAGTTTATTAAAATAAATGTGTGTATCACAGACTAAAGTGATGTGATGCTTTTGTGCTCCCTTTGATTATTATCACCATATCAGGCCAAGCACTCATCACTCTCCTTCATTACAATTGCCCTAATAACTTATTCAAGGGGCCATGTGCTATTTGAATTTCTTCACTTCTTTGTAATGATTGATTCTATGTTGTACCTAGAGCAACTTACACACCTTCAAGAAGCCTTGCTGGCCACTCTAATGCCTCTGTCCCTTTTTTCTTTGTGTCCTTTGGCCTTGCTATGAATACTACCAATATCACTCTGCATGCCATCGTATGCTGTGGTTGCCTGATTCAGCTCTTTATTTATGTAATTCTGTTGGACATAGTGGCCTCTTGTTTATGTGTGTGTTGTATGTGTGTGTGTGTGTGTGTGTGTGTTTGTGTGTGTACAAGGACCACATATTTTAATACCAAAAATGACAATATTAAGGACAAGTGCCAGTTGTTGAATGTTTTCTAAGTTGTGCCACATGTCTTAGAGCCTATAAAACTGACAATTTATCTCCTTCACTGAGGGGGGAAAAAAAAAAAACATTTGGAACTGTGAAAGCTCATTAGGTTTTACAAATCTAACTTTGTGTAAGTTTTTATTATGATGATTGTTGGACTATGTGAGGCTGGCTTTGAACTCCTGAGCGCAAGTGTTCCTTCCAAACTCAGGGTTCCAAGTCGCAAGGAATACAGTTACACACCATCCTGCCCAGTGAAATTTTTATTTTAATGACAAGAGCACTACTCTGTATAAGTTTTTAAGCAACACAATCTCAACTGAAAAACAAGGCTGTGAATCCCAAATAATAAATACATTTAAAAAATAGGTGCAGAACCATTCCCAGGAATCAAAGAACTGCTGTATTTTGGAACAAATCAGTTTTGGAGAGGTGAACAGCCCCTGTACAGTGCTCAGAAACAGCATCACTTACTCAGGGCATGAGGAGAGGAGGCCCTTCCTGTCTACCTTCACCTCTGCCTTTCCTGGTTTTATGGCTGCTACCTCTCCCTTTCCCCTGAAAACAAAACATTGGAAAGGTTGGTGGTATGGGTTAAGCATTCCTCATCCAAAAATCCAAAACCTGAAATGCTCCAAAAAGTGAACTAACTTACTTATGTGGGCCAATGCCACATGAGGAAAATTCCACACCTGACTTCATGTATGCAGCTACACTAAAATTTTTATATAAAATAAGCTTCAGGCTATGCATAT